GTCGACCTCACCAGGTCGACCACAACCTTGGTCGACCAGCTCCAGGTCGACAACCCACCTGGTCGACCAACTCCAGGATGACCAGCACACCTGTCAGCCGACCACACCCAGTCGGCTTCCCCTGGTCGACGTACCTAAGTTGACACCCTCTACTGGTCGACCTCCCAAGTCGACCAGCCTCCACTGGTCGACCTCCCAAGTCGACCAGCCTCCACTGGTCGACCTCCCAAGTCGACCAGCCTCCACTGGTCGACCTCCCAAGTCGACCAGCCGAAGTTGGCGCCCTCCCAATGTCGGCGCCCTTGCAGTGGCCCCCGTGCAGGTCGACCAGACCCGTCGACCAGCTCCCCCACTGCCGCAGGTCGGTTGTACTCCTCACATCCGACCACGAAGTCGGCTCCGCCCAAGCGAGGACGGGGCCAACAACAACTCCCGTTGACAAGATCTAGGGCCATAACAAACCGTGAAGGAGCTAGTAAGGGAACTAAAGGGGGAGCGCAACGCGGGGTGGAGAACAACGCCCTAACACGGGCACCATTCGAGAAGGGCTAGAAGGTGCTAATGTGAGAGTACGACGGCTTATGCTGGCTTTGCTAGCTTGCCTGAACTTTATTATGCTTTTACTAGCTTGGGTTTTATTTATCATGCATAGTTATGCTTGATTTCCTAGGTTAGGTGCATTCCTATATTTCATTATAGCTATAGCACCGAACCAGGTTAAGTGTACCGAACTCAAACCTATTCGGTTTCCACTGAATTGCTTTCTACCGAGTTCGGGAAGGTTCTCTTCGAGACGCTTCGCGACCCTCAGAACATTCGCGTAACACCTGGGTTATCTGCCTTGTGTCGAGCCTATATATAGCCTCGTGTTGTACCCAGGTGGATCATTCAATTCAAGCTCTCTTTTCTGAGCTCGATCCTAGATCCTCACACTTGGTAATCAGAGCCTGTGTGCACGCGATGTTTTTTGACTGCTAAAACCTAGATTTTAAAACCGCAGGGGCGACGACGGAAAGCGCCAATTTTGGGTACGTAAACCAGTTCCATGCTATTTTTTAACGTCCCCCTCGAACCGGTTTTCGAACACTCCTCAGGTTCAATGGCGAAGTTGGAATTTTGACTGTCATATCGATTCGAATCTCAACGACCCTAAGAATTTTGCCCAAAAAGGTTGGAATTTGGAGCGACGGGTTGAATTTCTTCTCAACGGCAGTGATCGGACGCGAATTTGACGCGACCTACATAATCAGCGCTCGTCATTTCAACAGTCGATTCGACTCACAGTAAGTCGACCAGCGCCTAAAACTTAATTATTTTCGTCGCAAATCTTCCTGTAAATCGCCAAATGCAGGAAAATGGTGATTATTCCGTACGAGAAATTACGGAGTTACACACCGGCCTGGACCAGACGCGAGCGGCACTCGAGCGAATAGAGGAGCTTCTCGCGAACCAGTCGGCAGCCGCCACGGCAGCAACGAATGCAGCAGCGACCGTAGCAGCAGCAACGGTGACACTGACATTTTACCCAGCAGCAGCGGCAACAGCTACAGTGAATCTTGAGGCGGCACGTCCGAGGCTACCTGAGACGTTCAATCCGAATGCGAGAGACACCGACGTCCGTCGATTCATTGCGACCCTCGAAATTTACTTCGAGGCCGTTGGCTGATGCAATGCGGATTCGGCTCGCAGTGACACTGTTGTCAAACTATATTTATATAGTTTCTATATGTTAGTCTAGGTGTTGTACAATATGTTACACTTGTGCTAGGACACTTGCTAGGGTTTCCTATATCTTGTTTGTTCATCCTGTTCCTTAGTCAATTTTCTCACGCTAGTTAGTTTGTGACATGGTATAGAGCTAAGCGATCCAATGGGCCCACCGCCCCATGAACCGACCTAGCCCTAAGGCCCGAAGCGCCCCGGTAGCCCCGTAGCCCGTGCGTCACCCGTTTTCCGCCCGTCGCGTCACCCGTTTTTTGCCCTCGCGTCACCTGTTTCTGCCCAGTGTGTCACCCGTTAGGCCCCGCCCGATTTGCCTGCCAGCCCGCTAGCGCGCGTCAGACCCGCGCGCGCAGCCCTAGACGCACGCGCACCCACGCGCACGTAAGTCGCGACATTTCGCGAGTAGGGGAGGAGCCCGCTACCCGCGCCCGTCGCCTCACCCGTCACCCATTCGGGCTGAAACCGTCGACTTACCTGGAACCCGTCGAAACCCACCTCCCCACCGGTTAGAAATCGTCCCCACCGGTCAGAAATTGTCCCCACCCGCCGCCCCAAGCGTTAGCACCCTCCTCATAACCTAAAACCGCCGCCCCACCAATTATCATCCTCCCCATGACCTAAAACCGCCGCCCCACCTGGTACCCACCACCCGACCTGTTGCCCCACCCGCCGCCCCACCTGGAATGCCCAACCCGCCGCCCTACCTGTCACCTGCACCCTGGAACAGCCCTCAACCGCACTCCACCGCATTCAACCGCACAGTACCGCACTCAACGGCACAGTACCGCACTCAACCGCATTCAACCGCACAGAACCGCACTCAAACGCTTTAGACCGCACCAGTCAGTACCCTTCCGCACTAGCTGTACGTACTCAACTATGTCTACCTCGCGAATTCTCAACTATGTCGACCGGTCGATTTTCCAGGATGGCTTCGCAAGCTTAAGCTGTACCTACGGTCTAGAATCGAGAACGACGTGCGCCTGCTGGAGCATGCCACCGGCAAGCTCGTTGCCCCGAAGGATCCCGACCCCCTAGGTGCTTCCCCGTCGGAGGTGGATGAGGCTCGCTTTGAGAAGGCGCAGTTGGCGGCCAGTCGCTGGGTGGCGCGGGACGACGCTACCGTGCTCGCCATCACCGACCTCTTGCCACTGTCTGAGCAGCATCACTTCGAACAGGAGGTGACAGCCAAGGGCCTTTTCGACGCGGTAGTCAAACGATACTCCACCCCGACCACTGCGTCCCTCGGCCATCTTGTGCTGCCCTTCCTTTTCCCCGACCTTCCCTCGTTTCCGCGTGTTGCTGACCTCATTCTGCACTTGCGCTCGCTTGATGCTCAGCTCCGCTCTGCTGCCCCTGACCCCGACCTGCTTGCCACCAATCCCCCCCCGATGTGGATGACACTGTACCTCCTTTCCACCCGCCTCCCTGACCGCTTTGCCACTGCTCGTGACCACTTCCTCACTATCAACCCCATGTCCCTCACTATTGACCTCTTTGCGGAGAGGCTCACTACTGTTGAGGACCTTGCCCGCTCCCTTGCTGCTGCCTCTAGTACCGTCCTCCCCCCCATCTTCGAGGGGTGTGCCCCTTCGTTCCTTGCCTCTTCTGTCGACTCAGCCTCTGTTGCCACTGCATCCGAGGTTGCAGCTGTTGCCTTTGGCAACAAAGGGGGCAAGAAGAGCAGTAAGAAGGGAGGAGGTGGTGGCAGTGGTGGGGGTGGCGGAGGGGGCAGCGGTGGAGGTGGTGGAGGGGGTAGTGGTGGAGGTGGTGGAAGGGGCGGTGGTGGGGGGGGCGGCGGGAGTGGTGGTGGCGGCGGCGGAGGGGGTGGGAGTGGTGGTGGAGGTGGAGGTGGGGGCAGTGGAGAAGGAGGTAGTGGGGCGTCCCAGCAGCAGCAGCCCCAGCAGCAGCAGCACCAGCAGCAGCAGCAGCAGCAGCAGCCACAGCAGCAGCGGCAGCAGCAGCTCCAGGGCCAGCGCCAGCAGACCCAGCAGCAGCTGTGGGGGCCGCCTGGACCAGGGAGCTCTGTCAGCAGCAGTGGCCCACCCAGCACCCCCCCTGCCAGTACTGGGTGCAGACTGGGCCGCGCAGAGACCGCATCTGTAGCCGCCTTCACCCTGCGGGTCAGTGCTTTGCGCAGCTTACTGACCGCTACCGCGCCCAGTTTGGCCTCACCCGCTCTGCCCCAGACTGGGCCCCACTGGTCCGCTCTGTTGGCACGCAGTTGTATCGCATGTCTGCCGCAGAGTTAGACGCAGATTTAGATAGTGCTGTACGATCTGCTTCTGTGATGTATGCTGATGACTCTAGTGTTGATCGTTCCGGCTATTACTCTTGTTTGTCTAGCTTAGGTGCTGTAGAGGTTGCTAGTGCTGTACCAGCTAAAGTAGCTTGCACAGGTCCGACCACCCGGTCAGCGTCCCTTTCGTTCACGCTCGACTCTGGAGCGTCCAGCTGTTTCTTTCGTGACCACACCGACCTCACGCCGCTACGCACCCCGGTCACTGTTGCCTTGGCTGACCCCTCAGTGGGAGCGGTGGTTGCCCACAGCACCACTACTCTCCCGTGTCCGGCGGCTCCCTCTGGGGTCCTCACAGGTTACTACACCCCCTTGTTCTCCAGGAACTTGGTGGGTGTCAGCCACCTCCACGACCTCGGAGTAGTCACCACTTTTCCTTTAGACGAGCCTGTTGCTTCCTGCACAGACGGTGTCACTGGGGCTCCTCTGGCTACTTTCCCCAGGGAGCCAGGCTCTGGTCTTTACTCACTACACTCTGGGTCTCGCCACACTGGTTCAGGTCAGGTCAGATCAGGTCAGGTCAGGTCAGGTCAGGTCAGGTAGCTGCTGTGTCGTGCGACGGGCGGCTGCGACTGCCCTGCCATGGTGGGGTTGTGGGGAAGTGGGGGAGTGGATGGGTGAATGTGATGGGGGGAGATGATTAGAAGGGCGGAGGGGATGCGAGAAAGTGGGGTTTCAAAGGATAGAAAAGAGGAGAAGGATCCCACGATAGAGGGGAAGGGAAATACGTGGGAGATAGTACAGAGAGTGTGGAGAGAAATTTGCAGAGTGGTACAAAGGGAGTGGCACCTTGGGCAGCACGGGAGTGGCACCTTGGGCAGCACGGGAGTTGCACCTTGGGCAGCACGGGAGTTGCCTTTCAAACCTTGGAGTAAGCCCGCAGGTGTTACGACGGGGGGCGGTATGGTATGTTGGGCATGACGGGGGTAGTACCTTAGGAAGCAAGGGGGGCATACCTTAGGAAGCAAGGGGGCATACCTTAGGAAGCAAGGGGGCGCACCTTAGGAAGCACGAGCGTGCAGTTGGTGGCTTGGGTGAAGTGGGCGGCCTCTACGAGGTGCTGGAGAGCTGCTCGTCCGAGTAGGCGAACACCAGGAAATTGCGCCCCCTCGTGGCCTGGATAGCAAGGGGATGGGGGGGGGGGGGGGGGGGGGGGGGAGAGAGGCGCGGGGTGAAGTGGAGTAAGTACTGACCCGCATTGAGTAGGCAATGCGAGGTAGCTTGCGTGTTCAGATGGAAGAGGGCCGAGAAAGACAATAGGCTGAGGAAAGAGGGAGCACCATGACATCGTCAAAGGGCATGTGCGGCACAGGCCAGCACGCCTCAGGCCACATGCTGCAATTTGCTCCTACTGCTCCCTCTCCTCCTGCTCCTGCTCCTGCTCCTGCTCCTGCTCCTGCTCCTGCTCCTGCTCCTGCTCCTGCTCCTGCTCCTGCTCCTGCTCCTGCTCCTACTCCTGCTCCTGCTCCTGCTCCTGCTCCTGCTCCTGTTTCGCCTGCGTCAGCTGCCAGCACCTTGCCACCCTCGCCACCCGCGTTACCCCTGTCACGGCACTCGCCGCTCAGGCTGGCTTCTATCTCGCGCACCCCGCGGCACACAGCATCCACGCCCGCTTCTATCCGCGCCAGCGACGTCTGCTTCCGCCTCACTGCCCTCGCCACCAACGCACTCGACGCAGCTCGCGCGCCGCCAGGCCGTGGAGCACAGCAGCGCGTCGGAGTCAGCAGCAGCAGAAGCGGAAGGAGCGACAGGAGCGGCAGCAGCAGGGCGGCTGGCAGCGTGGATATCAGTAGGAATTTGAAATTCGCGTGTGAGCGCCTGAGCCGACAGCTCCTGCGACTCCCACTCGCTGCTGTCGGCCACGGCCGCTCGTCGCCTCGCTGCTGCCGCCCACTGCTGCAGCGCGTTCAGCTGCTCCCTTGTGCACGCGGCTGCGGCGCGCTGCTCCGGCGGAGTCAGCGCCGGCTTGTGGCCGTTCGGGAAGGAGTGGGCGTGGAAGTTTCTCAAGGCCGTACCGCAGGCGGAGGTCATCATGGTGAGATGGGCACGCTGTAACGGATCTGCTAAGTAAAATGGCATTTACCCATTTAATAATAGGTTCTAATACAAACAGAGAGTAGCAGCTGCTGGAAATTGCTACGTCTGGAAAGTGCTAGGAGATGCAGTCACAAACTGTGGAGGATGAGTTGAGAGATGAGAATCCTATTTCCCAATTGATTAGTTGGGGACAGGAAGTGAAGAATGAGCTTCGAAATGCTCAGACCCCTCCCTAGACCCCCTTGGGGTGCAGCCACCTTCCCCATGGCAAGGAAGGGTGCACCACAATGGGCCTTGCCCATGTGGCAAAGGTTAATCCTTTTTACTCAATGACATGGCACAAACAATGGCATAAAATGCTGTGTATGCAATATGTTATCCATACCTGTCATGTTATAACTGGTTGCAATTCCAACGCAAGAGTTGAGTTGGACTTCGAATGTTTGTCATTGGCTATATTTCCAACCAGCGGCGAGGGCCTTGTCGACTCACTTTGTATAAAAGTTTTCTGATTGGTTGGCTTGCCAACCAGTCCGTTTCCCCGCTTTTCAACCATTTCATTTCCCTTTCCTCTTCCCAACCCAGGTTCAATGTATCGAGACCTTGGGTTGGTTGGGTATCGAAATGTTGCACTCCTCCACCTCCAGCTGGCAACGTCCTCGTTGCCGTGGGGTGCTTCTTAGGACGAGTGCTACGAGCACGACGAACCACATTACGACCAGGGTCAACACCATCCGCTGGTTGTGGGAGTGCTCGTTGAGCCAGGTCTTCCATGTAAGACTGAACCGCAGTATCAGTCAAATGTTCTTCCGGCTCCCAAGAGTTGTGTTCAGGCCCATAGCCTTTCCACTTAATGAGGAACTCTCGTACAGTCTTGCGGCCGCGTTGTCGATCACGATGCAAAAGCACTCGTTCGATTTCATAGTACAGTTCCTCCCCTAGGACGATTGTTGGTGGTGGTAGGTACTTGCCTCCCGCAACGTACTTGCTTAACAGAGACACATGGAAGACATTGTGAATCTGAAGGGTATCGGGTAGCTTGAGTTTATAAGCTACCGCACCAACTCGTTGAACCACCTCGAAGGGCCCAATCCAGCGAGGGAACAACTTTCTCGCACCAGGGATCTTAAGCCGAATATTCTTCGTGCTTAACAAAACTTTGTCTCCAACGGAGAACGAGACTTCCCGACGTTTCATATCGGCATAGGATTTTTGTCTTTGTTGGGCTAATTCCAGCCAACGTTAGGGCCTCTCGTTGCTTGCCCACAAAATCCCTTGCGGCAGGTAATTTCAAACCGCCGATCCCATGCGTAGCAGGTGTTGTTGGATGCCGACCACAGTTCAGGATAAATGGTTTTTCATGTGTGCTATCATGCACTAAGTTGTTAACCGCAAACTCTACCATGGGTAACAACTCGTCCCAATTGTCCTGTGTTGGGCTTATAAAAGAACGAAGCATCTGCTCGAGAGTGCGGTTAGTCCGTTTCGTTTGCCTATCTGTCTGGGGATGGAACGCTGGCGACATCTTAAGCTTCGTTCCTAGTGTCTCGGTTACTTCACGCCAGAATCTGCTCGTGAAGCGCGGGTCGGGATCAGACACTAATACACGTGGCAATCCGTGTAGGCGGAACACATGTGTCACGAACAACCGAGCAGTATCCTCTGCTGACACGTCTGTTGTCGTGGGTACGAAGTGCACCATTTTTGTAAGACGATCTACAAAGATGAGTATCGACGTATACCCCTCACGAGTTCTTGGGAGGTCGGTGATGAAATCCAGTGAAACGCTTTCCCAAGGTTCACTCGGAATTTCAAGTGGTTGAAGCAAACCACCAGGCTTCTGTGTGCCCGGTTTGTTACGTGCGCACGTGTCACAACGTGCCACAAACTGTTGGACATCACTACCGACTCCTGGCCACCAATACACATCTCATAGGGCCCATCGGGTCTTATTCATGCCCAAGTGTCCCCCATATTTAGTGGCATGCACCTCTTCCAAAATATCGTTCCGCAGATTGCCTACATGAAGTACCGCAATCTCTTTTGTTCGCCACCAAAGATCTTGTTCCCATGTCAAATGTCTGGTGTTTTGTGGGTTCTGGAACCAGGAATAAAAAATATATCCTGTACGAATTCGTTTCAGAAAACCACTGAACGCGATCTCGCTCACTTTCGCCGCAGCTAGTAAGCCAAAACAGGCGGCAAAAACAGCCGCATGTTCGGTATCGTCAAGCCCGGTTGCTGCCCCTATTGGCTGTCTGCTGAGGGGGTCAGCCAGGTTCGTGGAACCTGCACGATAACGAATGTCGAAACTGAACCCACTAAGGAGTTCAGCCCAAGGGGTCTAACGGCGAGTGAGGGTAGCTTGGGTATATACGGTCCTCGCCAATTTCAATCCCTCCAATTTCACATCCCTGGGCATTCGTTTCTGGTTGACCCGAAATCAAGGGTCATTCGGACAGCTAAGGCTTTAAGTAAAAAGTTTTCCAGACTACCCTCACGAGTCAGCAAGAAAACAAAAAAACATGGTCGCAGCAGAAGATCCAGTCTATGCGCTGGAGTCACTGAGGGAGAATTTCGCGAGATCAACACTAAAGGGTGTCATGAGTAGCATGTAGTTACTGAATGTTTGATCCATAAAGCCAGAAACGGTCAAGGGTGATTTGTGGAAAATCTCAGGGGACACGGTGTAGAAAAGTATGTGTTCGGGCAATGGTCAGTGGTGACCACGAACTCTACCCCTTCCAAATAACATCGCCATGTTCTTAGCGCATGCACGATAGCCAACAACTCTTGTTCGGTCGTCGTGTAGCGTTGCTCTGCCGGGGAGAGTTTTCTACTCTCAAATGCCACAGGGCGTCCTTCTTGCAGGAGTACTGCACCAAGTCCCACCGTTGAGGCGTCCGAAACCACCTCATATGGTTTCTGTGGGTTTGGCAACACCAAAACCGGTGCGTTAGTTAATTTATGCTTGACCTCTTCGAAGGCCTTTTGGCACTGTGAAGTCCACTGCCATGCACACCCTTTCCGGGTCAATGCCGTGAGGGGAGCGACTATCGTGGAATAATTTTCCAAGAAGCGACGAAAATAATTCGCCAGGCCCAGGAATGATTGAACTTGGCCAACGTCGCGTGGGACGGGCCACTCCTGGACCGCTGCTACCTTCTTGGGGTCCACTTTCAACCCGTTATGCCCCACCACGTGCCCCAAATACTCCAACTCACAATGGCATTTCCACAAACGCGCGTAGTATTTATGCTCGCGTAATTTTCCGATTACCCATTTCAGATGTTCCGTATGCTCGTTTTCGGTTTTCGAGTATACCAGGATATCATCGAGGTACACCAAGAAGAACTGGTCAATCGCATCGCGGAACACATCATTCATCGCCCTCTGGAAAGAGGCCGGAGCATTGGTCAAGCCAAAACTTAACAGACGCCACTGAAAATGGCCGAACGGCGAACGGAAAGCCGTCTTTGGAACATCGTCCTCTGTTATACGCAATTCGTGATAACCTTGCGCCAAATCCAATGCACTAAACCTTTGCGCACCCTACAGTCGATCAAATAAATCTTCTATCCGCGGAAGTGGATATCTGTTTTTGATCGTAATTTTATTCAGGGCTCGATAATCGACGCACATGCGCAGTCCACCGCCCTTCTTGTGAACAAACAAGATAGGTGCTCCATATGGGGACGCGCTGGGTTCTATCCATCCCTTTCTGAGGTATTCCTCAATTTGTTGCTTAGCCTCCTCGTACTCAGCTAGACTGAGGCGATACAGAGGTATAAACGGTGGTGCCTTTCATGGCTCCACCGGGATGGTGTGGCCGACTGCACGGTCGGGAGGTAACCCGTCCGGAATTGGTTCGAAAACCTCAGAATATTCCTCTGCCAACGCCTTCATTTGAGGTGGAAAGTCCTTAATAATTTGTGAAGTGGTTGGTTCGGAGTCTAGCTGTACAACAAAAAAGTGTATCAGCTCCCTTGGCATGCTCTTTGAATTGGAGAGCCGATGCAAAGTGTACATCCATAGCCAAGCTTTGAGGTTTGTCGTCCAGTGCATGGCGCTTTGGGACTTGCCATTGAAACGTCGTCCCATTCTTTGTGAATGAAAGCGTGTTATCTTGGAAATTTAATATCACCTCATTAGGCCGCAGCCAGTCCATTCCCAAGACAATGTCTACGCCTGCTAGGAGGGGTAAGACAAAAACGTTGATGGTCTCCTGAGATCCTTGGATATCCAGGTTGACCAAGGCATGTCCTCTGCATGGGATGATCCTGTCATCCCCCAGGCGGATAGAACAAGATGGTCCTTGAACAGGAACATTCAAATATTCCATCCACTTCTCATCGATCAATGACGCAGTTGCACCTGTATCAACCAGGATCGAGGCACTGCGCCCATTTACACGACCCGAAAACAAAAGGTTTTGCTGATGTTTGGGTCGGATAGGACATGCTGTAATATCAGTGGGAGGCAAATAATATGCCTTAATGCCGTGCTTGCTACGTCCAAAAGAACGAGCTTGTGTCCACCACACATGGTGTCCCTTATCCCACTGCGCTAACACGCTCCATCCTTGAAGTGCTCGAAACAATTTACCTCGAATTGCGCGCGTTACCATTCCAACCGCAGTTAGAGGGTGCGCTTGGGTGCAACGACCCACCACATCCATTATCCAAGGCAAATTTTGGTGATCACAAAATATCCAAGACAAAATATTATCACAGTTGAATCATTATCTCGTAATGATTCAACTGTGATATTTTCCAGTGGGTGAAATCGAGAGGCAAACAAAGAACTTTCATTAAAAGAAAATGCATACACACATGCAATTTTGCAATCAACAAGGCACTCGAGTTTCAACAACTCCTCATCCCTCAGGACTACTGCCTCATCATCTCGATCTACTACGCCCTCTAGGTACCCACCCCCTAGTTGGGCTTCGCAAAATCCCGCTGGCCGCCTGAGGGGCCACTGCCATCATGGCGCTTGTTGTCCGTCTTGGGCTTGCCAGATTACTTCACCGACTTGCGGTGGTGGCACTCGTAGCCCTTGTGTCCAGGCTTGCGGCACTTGAAGCAGCTCTGGACATTGCTTGGTCCACCCTCGTTGACCTTCTTGGCCTTGTGGTCAGCCTGCTGTCCCTGCTGGAAAGGCCTCCACGACTCCCCAGCCCTATCCGTCATGTGCATGCTCTGGAGGTGCTCAGGCAGGCCCTTGAAGAAGAGGTGGATCTTCTCGCCTTCGCTCATGCGTTCCGCCAGTTTCTGGAGCACCCAAATCTCCTCAAACTCCACGGCGTACTGCTGAACGGTGCGGTTCTCGCACTGCAGCTTCTCAAGGCGGCTGCGCACCTCCAGCTAGGTCGGCTGGACCTGGAAAGCTTGCTTGAGTCCAGATGCAAATTCCTCCCACCCAAACGGCTTCCTATCCGCCTCAGCCTGGATCTTGCTGTCATACACCACTCGCTGTGCATTCTAGTCCAGCACGGTGGTGGCAGCGACGACGCGAGCGTCGTCTTGGACCTTGTGAGCCTTGAACAGGTCAGTCATCATCGACAACCATGCCGCCACGTCCGTCTTGCCATGGATGAATGGCGGCAGGGCAATCGGCAGAGAGCCAAAAAACTGCGTGTTCGGCTCAGCAGCGCGCTGCGTAGAAGGTCCGGGGTCACCCGCCACACCACCAGAGCGAGAAGGGTTGGTGCGACCGCTAGCAGAGTTGGCAGGCGGGTCCGCTCGTGGTGCAGGGCGATACATGGTCTCCCTTCGGAAGGCACTGAAAGCCTCGCGCAGCTCTGATTACCAATGTAACGGATCTGCTAAGTAAAAGGGCATTTACCCATTTAATAATAGGTTCTAATACAAACAGAGAGTAGCAGCTGCTGGAAATTTGCTAAGTCTGGAAAGTGCTAGGAGATGCAGTCACAAACTGTGGAGGATGAGTTGAGAGATGAGAATCCTATTTCCCAATTGATTAGTTGGGGACAGGAAGTGAAGAGTGAGCTTCGAAATGCTCAGACCCCTCCCGACTCCCGAGACCCCCTTGGGGTGCAGCCACCTTCCCCGTGGCAAGGAAGGGTGCACCACAATGGGCCTTGCCCATGTGGCAAAGGTTAATCCTTTTTACTCAATGACATGGCACAAACAATGGCATAAAATGCTGTGTATGCAATATGTTATCCATACCTGTCATGTTATAACTGGTTGCAATTCCAACGCAAGAGTTGAGTTGGACTTCGAATGTTTGTGATTGGCTATATTTCCAACCAGCGGCGAGGGCCTTGTCGACTCACTTTGTTTAAAAGTGTTCTGATTGGTTGGCTTGCCAACTAGTCCGTTTCCCCGCTTTTCAACCATTTCATTTCCCTTTCCTCTTCCCAACCCAGGTTCAATGTATCGAGACCTTGGGTTGGTTGGGTATCGAAATGTTACACACGCGGCTGAGTAGGAGGAGCCTGAGGCGTGTCATTGCGGTTATGCGAGGCAGCGGTCAAGAGGGGCTTGGTTACCAAGGGAGGTGCCAAGAAATCGTCGCCGGTCAGGTTTCCTGTAGTAGCATTGGGCGATGAGCAACGTACTCCAAGGAGGCACGACAGGACGACGAGTATCGGCGCGTAGTAAGACGCCTCGGGGAATGTAAAGGCCATGATTGCAACCCACCTAAATTCGCCACCGCAGCACTCGTATCACACATAGCAAGGAATTACTCTCGTTTGCCAGGAAACGCTCATTCTGGTAGCTGATTGTAGTCAGATCTGAATTCAGATATGGGGAAGTGGACCAACGCGAGTAAGTGGCGCCTGGTCGCCGGCAACCCCAGCAACATGATTTGGTACGCGAGTTTTCGCAGGCGATGAGAACTGCCGACTTGCCTGAGAGAAGCGAACGTTATCATTGTTGGAATTAAGGTTAATTCGGGTTGCTCCAATAAACATATGTAGTGGTACATCTACACTATAGTAGTGTAGAATATATAGGTTGGGTTGGGAGAACTTGTGGTGTATACTCTTTAGAGTGGACCACCTCCCAAACCCTATAGGTTAGGGTTCTCTCTTGTTGGAACTCCACTTCTTGGAAACCACTTTGGTTCTAGCATGGTTCATGCCCAAGTGGGCTCCTAAGATTCCTGGGCTTTAGGAGGAGGTTCTAAGACTACTAAAGCTTCCGCTAGTAGCTTAGTCCATTCTAACAATCATGACGTGCGATGCTGGGAATTCTCAGTTTCTTGCGAAGAGCGAGAACCGATTAGCCATGGTGCAGACCTAGGAGCAAACGAACCACTAGCAGACCCCCAAGAACATTCGAACCGCGGAAGCATGCCCCAGCAGCCGTCTCAAAAATTGTGATCCCGCCAAAATCACCACCAGACGTGGTTACCACGAAACACGAGGATAACGCTCTGAACCTATCCACAACTACCCAACATCCCCCAAAGTCGCAAAGTCGCAACACGATTCTGCTTTCCAGCTCAATGGCATCGCAGCCAACCAAGCAGTATTTCAGAACAAAACCATAGCTCGGATCGGAAGGTTATAACAATCAATGTACAAAGCACTGTTGTAGGGTAGTTTGTAGACATTAGGAGAGTAAATATGGGGGCTTCTGCATAATATGGCCACAAGGGTGCACGCTGGCCATGTAACAGGGTACTTTGGCACATTTACAAAACACCCAGGGTGAAACAGTGTGCGAAAAAATCTACCCAGGGTGAAGGAAAATTCGTTGTGGCACTCATAGTGATGTCATCCAGGCACCCTGATCCTGTTAGGGTGCTCTAAAACCAATACCATAGCCGATGTTCCTGTCCTGATAGGAGCCCAATCGTCACTAGCAACAAGTGGGCTCTAGGAAATCTGGTTATCCTTACACCAACAATGAGGTGCAACAAGGTGATATTGTGATCATCAACTCAAAAGCGAGACAATTGACGTTGCTATACCGGCAAGTAAACCTTAACCCTGTCTCTTCTCATTGGTCCATTACACGAGCAGCCCCTGCTGCCCTAGCAGAATCTCGTTAAGAAAGCTGACGAGGGCAAGCCACACAATGGGGGCGATGTCTTGATATACCGGTGCTCTCAAACCCCCATTCTCTGCAAAAATCTAATGTGAAGTCCCATATCACGAGAGAGATTGCTATCACAAGAGCGACTCCTGATTCGCTATAAGCACAAGCAGCCCCTGCTGGCCCAGCAGGATCTCGTTGAGGAAGCTGATGAGTGCCAGCCACACAATGGGGGCGATGTCAACACCTCCGATAGGCTGAATAACGGCTCTGGTGAGACGGAGGATGGGCTCGGTGAACGGGAACTCGGACACTGGGAGTTGGAGGGGGTCGCATGGGGAAGGGGGAGGAGGGGAGAGCAAGGAGGAGGAGGTAATGGGAGGTGGAGGGAAAAGGGAAAAGGGAAGAGAGGGGGAAGAGAGGGGGAAGAGATGGGGAAGAGATGGGGAAGAGAGGGGGAAGAGAGGGGGAAGAGAGGGGGAAGAGATGGCGACGAGAGGGGGAAGAGAGGGGGAAGAGAGGGGGAAGAGGGGTGGAAGAGATGGGGAAGAGAGGGGTAAACCCTGAATTCAGTCACACCTACCCGGGGATACCACGACATGACGATGAATAACAACCCTCGCTCACACGGTCACTTGCATACAGTCACACCTACTGTGACACCACCCCTTCCTTACAGTCACACCTATCGTGACATCATCCCTTCCTTACAGTCACACCCACCTGCGGGTATCACGACATAACGATGCGGAGGATGAAGAGGAAGTTCAGCGCCGCGAAAAGCGGGCCCAACACGGCACTCACTGCTGACGCCGCATCCGGCGAAATCTCCGCAATCACCGCCGCGCTTTGCGCTGCTGATGCAATGCCCTCGAGTGGCCCCGCAGACGCCGTCGGCGCAAGGAAAAGAGAAGCAGAACAAGTGGCGGCAGTAGCGGCGGTGATTATCGAGATGGAATCGGACGCTGTTATCGGCTTCGCTCGCGACGTCACGACGCCGTTCATCCGAAAAAAACAGGGGGGCAAATGTAGGTTCGAAGTAACTTGGAGAGTAACTTTGGGGTAAGGTTTCGGAAAGTATGTTCGAGGTTACGCCTCATTCTACTTTTCACGCAGACCGCACGTTCAACTCTCCCAACACTTCAGGAACCAATCGCCATAACAGTTTTGTTTGGCTCGGAAACTCAATCGATTGGTCAAGTGCTTGGAGAAATTCAGTTCGGAGATTGCTCTCATTGGTTATCGAGATGTGTAGGAATGAAAATCAATTGGCTCAGATTCGCGACACGTGCGAACATTTCGCCCGATAAAAGTGATCAAAAACAGAGACTATAGCATTAATATACATATCTCGCAATACACTTCTATTTAAATTTGCACTTTTGTATTCTTGCTACACTCAATAAATGGATAGAAAATCCATTCGGTTGTATTAATAAAAAATCTATATTTTGCACAATACTAGCCCTGAACAACAGTTTGTTTTTTACACTTTCTAGCTGTAAACTTCCTGCTTGACTGCTCAAAATGAGTTAGGTGAATTAATCAACTCGAAATTTTAAATAAACCTACGCATTTGTTGAACTTCCGAATACAATTATTACAAACAATACAGGCTGCTCTAAGACTAGCACTAAGTAACTATATTCGCTGATTGCCCGGGCCAACATTAGCACTAAGCAGCCTTGTAAAAGCTAAGGAGACGACCTGCAAGAAAAAAACCAACTTGCAAGTCAAGTTTAAAAAGCAGCACAAAAACTTGCAAGTCAAATGCCAGGCATACCTCGCCATGGCGACCACGCGGGATTCTGCATCTCGTTGGACGACAACGTGCCTGATAAAACAGAAACACACGCGAACAAGATAGTGTGAAAATGTCGAGGAATGAGATTGACTAAGGGAAAGTTGGGTACAAGTACAAACCCTAGAAAACTGTACCTCATATGTGCTACCCCACTACAGCCTACAGCAGCTATGTCATATAAATCTGACACACCCCCATAGGCAAAGTGGGGGAGAACAATGGGTCACAAGACCAGTCAAGCAAAGCAAGGCAAGCTCAGGGTGGATCACAAAGTCACCACACATTCCGAGCACAAGTTCAAGGCCAGAAGGCCAGTTTACATGCAGGATTACATATATATATAAGGCTAGACAAGCAAGAGCAGGTGTATATATATATATGAAACAGTACAAACAAGGTCAAGGGGTGAGCAAGTGAGGCAAGGCAGGCACAAGACCAAGCTGAGTACAGTAGCGCTGATGATCACAAGGCGCAAGTGCCTTGGTGAAGATATCAGCAGTGGTGGCCTGAGAGGCCACATACGCAAGACGCAGCTGACCACGCTGCTGTAGCTCACGAGCAAGGAAGTAGCGAAGAGCAATGTGCTTCGTTCTGTGCTCCAGTCTCTGCTCCCGACACAAGGCCAGCATGGCCTTGTTGTCTACGTACAGCACTGGAGGAGAACGAGGCGGCTCTCCAAGGTCAGTCAGCAGGTAGGTGAGCCAGCGAAGCTCCTGTGCAGCCATGGCTCCTGCGTAGATCTCAGCCTCACAACTGGAGCCGAGAACAGAGGACGAGCGGGTAGCCCGCCACGAAACAGAGCCGGAACCAAGGCTGAAGGTGTAACCCTGTGACGACCGCTGCGTAGCCTGGTCGTCAGCCCAAGAAGCGTCTGCGTGCCCAGTGAGGACCACTGGACTCTGCCCTCCAAGCACAAGCCCCATGCCCAACGTACTGCACAAGTAGCGCAACACCCTCTTCGCTGCAGCCATGTGCTCCGGTCTGTGTCTCCCAGGAGCAACATAGCGTGCGAGAATGCTAAGAGGGTATGCAAGGTCAGGTCGTGTGCAGGTCATCAGGTACATGAGGCAGCCAACAAGCTCTGGGTACGGGCCACTCGACTCTACGGACTCATCCGAAGGCAGAGCTGAGAGCGAGTGGCGAGTAGGCAGAGGAGTGGCCTGAGGCGAGGAGTACGTGAAGCCGAAGCGCTGAAGGACCTGCTGCACCATGTGTGACTGAGTCAGGGTAATGGTGCGGCGTGCTCTGTCCCGGGTGATCTGCAAGCCAAGGTAGCTGCGCAGTTCACCCAGGTCTGTGCACGTGTGTCTCTTCTGCAGCTCGGACTTCACGTGGGCGAGTCCAGCAGTGTCAGCTGTGGCAAAGACCAAGTCGTCGACGTACACGAGGATGTAGAACGGCGGCAAAGAAGTGTCGGTGCGCAGAAACAGCGACGGGTCGGCAGTAGAGGGAGCAAACCCAAGAGCCGCAAGTGTAGTCCTCAGTGTGTCGTGCCACTCACGTGGTGCCTGGCGGAGACCGTAGACTGGCCGCCGGAGGCTCCACTGGGTGCCAGGAGGAAAAGACCCAGTGAAGCCAGGTGGGCGACGCAGCCAGATCTCCTCGTGCAGGCTGCCCTGCAAGAAAGCAGTGCTGAAGTCAAGAGAGTGCAGCTCGTAGTCACGGTGAGCAGCTATGTGCAGCAGTACCCGAAGAGTGGTCATCTTCGGGGTGGGAGAGAAGGTCTGAAAGTAGTCAACTCCCTGCCGCTGACTGAAGCCACGAGCCACGTAACGCGCCTTGAAGACAGGCGGAGAACCCGGCGGCCGCTTCACCCTGAAAATCCACATGCCACTGACGATGTTCGCCCCAGGTGGGGGAACCTCGTCAACGTAGGTGCCTGTGGACTTCCAGGAAGCCATCTCTGCGTCCATGGCTGCCTGCCACTGAGAGGAGTAGGGACCCTCTATCGCCTCCGCGTAGGAGCGCGGAGTCGGGATGTCAAGTGCATCCGGGTCTCCCTCAGGGGTAAGCAGTACGGACACGAGATGAGGTGAAACAGCAGCCAAACACTGGAACTCCTCCTGCCTGTCCTCAAGGACATCCGTGCCAAGGGCACACTCACCCCCGACGGACGGAGGACAGACAGACTCGGACTCAGCAACAAGACTAGTAGCGTAGTCTAGACGACAGCGAGCAGCAAAGTCGACGAGCTCAGTAACTAGGGCAGACGCAGCAGCAGACTCAAAGGAAGGGTCAGTGACAACAGTAGCAAGGAGACGCGTGACAGTAGGACTGGCAGCACGAAGAGAGTCCGACTCCGGGTCGGGAAGAGCAGGAAGAGAGGACTCAGGAGGAGAAGGCAAAGGGGCACGCAGAGGAGCAGTGGACGGACGCAGAGACATCCGGTGCGTGCCAGGGACAGGAGGAGGACGCTGACGCGAACCACGACCACTAGTGCGAGCAGCACGGACAGGCGACGCAGGGCGAGACGCAGGCTCACGACGCTCAGCAAGACCTCCAGTAGGACCAGTGTAGGGAGAAGGAGCAGGCAGTGGGGAGGCCGGCTGTAACTGTAACTGTAACGGGACAGGCTGTGGACACTCAAAGGGAGGAGGAGGAACAGGAGAAGGCGGGAGACCAAGAACCTGCTCAAGGAGCGGAACGAAGTACGGTCGAGGCCGCGCAGCGACTCCAGACACAGCAGGGACAGCACCAGTACCCCAAGTGGTAGCACCAGCGCCAGCAGCACCTCCAGCTCCAGTACCTCCAGCAGCACCAGTAGCACCCCCAGCAGGACCGCCTCCAGGACCGACAGCAGTAGCCTCAGCGTCAACACCCTCAGTAGCTCCAGCTCCAGTCGGACCACGAGAAGACGCAGTAGCACCTGCTCCAGTAGTACCCGCAGGCCCAGCAGCTCCAGTACTCCCAGTACGAGCACCTCCGGGACCCGCGGCACCAGCACCCTCAGCAGCCGAAGAACCTCCAGCTCCAGCAGCACGCCTCCACCGCCGGGCAAACCACTCGCGCAGCTCCGGTGGAGAGAGTGGCTCCCGCCGAGACAAAGCACCCGGAGAACCTCCAGGCACAGTACCGCCAGACGCCACGCGAGCGGGCCCAGCTCCCCCAGGCTCCGCACCCCCAGGCTCAGCAACTCCAGGCGTAGCACCCCCAGGCTCAGCACCCCCAGGCGTAGCACCCCCAGGCTCAGCACCCCCAGTCGTAGCACCCCCAGGCTCAGCACCCCCAGTCGTAGCACCCCCAGTCGTAGCACCCCCAGGCGTAGCACCCACACGCTCAGCACCCCCAGAGTCAGCACTCCCAGGCTCAGCACCCTCAGCAGCACCAGAGTCACCAGCAACCTCGACAGGCTCGACTGCGTCTACCTGGGACACACCTGAAGGGGCAGGACCCTGAGGGGGAAGGGGGTCTACCGGGGGGGGACCTGGCACAAGGAAGAGCGGTGGCGGGGGGAGGGACGGAGTGCGGTAGGGGAAGAGGCGGTAGTAGGGGACCGACTCGTCAAACGTGACGTCCTGGGAGGACAGAACACGGCGAGAGGTGGGGTGGTAGAACTGCCACCCTGGCGCGTCAGGGGGGAAGCCAAGGAAGACACAAGGAGCAGCACGAGGGGACAGCTTGTCCGCAGACAAGTCGCGGACAAACGCCCCAGATCCCCAGACACGGAACGCAGACGCATCGCCAACCTTCCCCATCCACAGCAAAGCTGGGGAGGTCTCCGGCATGGAGACCCTGGGCTGAAGGTTGATCTGATGCGCCGCGTACCGAACCGCAAACGGCCACAGAAAATGGGGGGCAGCCGCATGCATCATGGACGTACGGGCGACGTCCATGACCATGCCAATGCGGCGCTCAGCAATCCCATTTTGCTGTGGAGAGTCCGGAAGCGTGAAGGTCTGGCGGATGCCTCGTGCACGACAGTAGGCTCGCAGAAGGCCAGAGGAGAACTCTCCGCCTCTGTCAGAGTGCAGACGCAAAACAGGAAAGTCCGAGCCGAAGCTCTGCCTGAGCTGGAGACGAGCTGCGCGGATCCAGTCGATCAACACCTCAGTGACATCACCCTTGCTGCGCAAGGGGAAGACTGTGGTGTAACGCGAGTAGTCGTCAACCACCAGCAGGAAGTAGCGCTCGTGACCCTGTCCACGGACGCGGGCCGGGCCCCACACGTCCATGTGAAGCGTCTGCAGTGGGGCCTCTGTCGGAGGAAACTGGGAGGAGTGAGGGGCAGCCCGCTGCCGCCCCTCGACACAGGGGACGCAGGTAGGGGCAGGCCCCGGAGGAAGGGGAGGGAGGGACCGGGGAAGACCAGAGACAAGGACACGGGAGGCCATGCCTCGGAGACGAAGCAGGGAGGGGTGACCAAGGCGGTGGTGCCAGAGGAGAGTCTCGTGAGACAGGAGGCGACACGAGCAGGGGGCAGACTCAGGACCAGACCTGGACGCCGCAGCAAACACCTGACCCGACGCAACTACCTGACCAGACGCAGTGACTGGAGGAGACGCAGTGGTCAGTGTGTACAGGCTCGACCCCGGCCGACGTGTAAACGTGGCCAGGTGTCGGCCTGTCCGAGCGTCCGTGCAGTGGGTCACCCGCTGGCTCGCAGGAGTGAACTGGTGAACCCCCGCATCCTGTAGGTCAGCACCACTCACCAAGTTCGTAGAGAACGAGGGGAGGTAAAGACCAGACAGGGTGCCAGAGGGGGCCGCCGGACACGGGAGGACAGTGGAGAAGTGAGCAAGGACAGGACCCCCAGAGGGGTCTGCCAGAGAGACTGCAACTGGCCGACTAAGCGGAGTGAGTGTGGTGCGGTCTCGAAAGAAGGAGCGAGAAGCCCCCGAGTCAAGGGTGAAGGTGTGGGAGGCCGAAGCCGACGCAGTACCTGAGAGAGCAGACTCACCAGCACCTGAGGAAGCAGACGCACTAGCACCTAGAGCAGCAGCCTCGCTAGCACCTAGAGCAGCAGCCTCACCAGTACCTAGAGCAGCAGTCTCAATGCCCGGGTCGGGCGGA